TGCACTCCTATTTACAAGAAGATCAGACGCCGCAATTGTGGATTTCTCTGTATTATGTGGACGGTTATCATTTTCAAGTGCTTGTTTTCGAGATTTTGGGACAATGCCATTGTTTCTTTCGTGCAGCGGATCTGCCAGAACCTTTACGCCAGTGCTTGATTTGAATGCAAAACAAAGATCCTTCATGATGAAGACAGAGCTTGGTGGTGAAGTCCCCAGCGCATGCTGCCTTGGTGGTGGAGTCCCCAGCGCATGATGTCCAACAGCGTGTCAGAGAGTGAAAAAGAGATTCTGACCGGCTGTGTCTCTTTTTATACGCAGTGGTTTGACGTATGCGTTTGCATTCGGGTTCGTGGGCTCCATCTTGTTTCTTGTTGGCGCCAGCCCGCGTATGGACTGGTCACGCGCTGATGAATGAAGCAGAACTGCAGGTTTGCCCACATGAAGCGACTCTCCAAATGTCTATAGACATCTCCCGATGAACAGTGTAAAAATTGGGAAGATTCACATGGAGCCAGTCATGGGATGGATCTCCAAGCGCAAGCACTCCTCGATGATGTTCCTCCGTTCCTCTACAAGCTGCGGGGCTTTTCTTGTTTTTCATGCGGTCTCGACCTCTTGAGACGGATCAGTTGCACATCAGGCCCACGTAAAAAATGGGATGATCAAAAAACTCGACCAGTCACATGGAGGTGGGTAGAAACTTGTCCCCAAGTGAGTGGAAAACTGTGCACTCCTCTCCTCCAAGTTCGGCACCCTCCTGTGACTCCTCAACCGAGCACGAGCCACGGCCGAGCCGAGCAGCGGAGCCGCCCACAAACCACGGTCGTGGGTCATCCAGACGTCAAACGAAGACTCGTTGCTTTTGGATTATAGGTGGAGATATCCTCTATAAAATCACAGGGGTCATGGTATCCCATAAAACGTTTTATGGTCCCCCCCGTATATCCACATATATATATATAATATTGACTGGTGGTTGAACTAAAAAAGCTGGGACCCCTAAGTCAAACCCTACTGTAACCCTACCAAAACCCACCCGTCACCCGTCGTTGCTTTATGTCAAATCCTGGTGGTTGAAAGTTGGAGTCTCAAGTTTAAAACAAAAGTGATATGTATTGAGGGTTCTCACCAGTTCTCACCTAGATCTAAGCACGCAACTTATTGAACAAGTTAAGTTCATGGTCACGTTCCGGTGACAACAATTCTACTTTAACATCCTTAAATACTTCTTCCATTTTTCCCCTGCAACGTCTAAAGTGAACAGGATTCGAACCATACATGGATTAGTTGCATGCACGCTTCGGGCCATAACATGTATGTAACATGTATGTATCCAACTAATACATGGATGGTCTGGGGTCCATAGATCGAACCACACCACCATGTTTCTCGAGGTGTACCAACGGCCCCTCTACTCATCTTGCCTCTGGGTTTGATGTGGAGGTTTGAGAGGTTCTTGCTCAACCCATCAGTCACTATACCGACTCTTGAGACTCTCCTGTTTGCATATTGTATGATTTCTATGTCCGCTTCATATGCAGGAAATGGATGCTTGTAATGAGGAGCTCAAGATCAGGAGCTCTTCCCGGTTTTTCCTTTCTGGCCATTTCTGTCGACCTTTTCGTGTTGTTCGTGGAAATGATTGACATAGGCACCCCCACGCCCCAAAACGACGTGAAGTCAATAGACTTCAATCCAAACCTGGGCCCGGTCGGGTAGGGTCTCCACAGGTCTTCCAAGTCACAGGGGCTTTCCGGATTTTTTTTCGGCAGTAGTCGATCATGTTCTTTGAAGCACCATGACTTTGGTTCGCTTCCACACCCGCAACGAACGAGATGCAACAAGTAGAAAAACCACAAGTTCAGCAGTCGCATGTTTGGCTGTGAAACATCGGATTTGTTTGCCCGTCCTAAGGACATCGTCGGGAGCGAACCGTGCATCTATTTTTGCAGACCAACCGTTTTTTCACAACATGACGACTGGAGCGACACACTCTTGGGTCTGAGCGGGAACTCCAACAAAACGCCATAATAATTTCACCCAGAATAAATTCTTCCAGCCCAGCTTCAACTTGCCCTTCATCGGGGTGCCTTCGTGGTGCGTGCTGTGGTGGTTGAGCATCCCGTTGCTTCACACCACGTCTACCCATCGGGTGCTTGGCTCAAGCACCCGAGTGGGCCGAAGATCGCCGAAGTCGCCGAAGTGGCCGGTGAAGATTCCCCGGACAGAACCCTGCAGATCTCCGGGCGTGGTTCTAGAACCCACTTGAATGACCATCCACATCCGGGGGGGGTATAGTGTACCACCTTCAAAGAACCAATACCCTGCTTGTTTTCTTTTGCTTCACCTGGGTCTCGGCTGGGGATGCTGAGATTGTGGATGTGGATTTATACCGGTTTCAGAGGTTCAATGGCCCGGGACTCCTTTTGCTTAAAGAAAAAGCATGTTTATATAAAAAACATTAAAGAACAACCTTTGGGGGATTGTGCCGTCTACTCACCATCCACTATAAATATCAAGAGTTGGACTGTCCAATTTGGTTCTCTACTGAGGGCTCAACAGCTCAACAAGAGAATTGGACACTGCCAGGCACCTCTTGCTTTTGGAGGATGCATTGAACGCATGACCTATGATCATGGAGCCTAATGGAGCCTACAGATGCCTGAAGACCTTACCAACTACCTGCCACTTCTTTTTGGTACCCAGATGATACCCAGATGGTACCCAGATGCTGGTGGTGACTCGCGTTCAGAGCCCAAAGAAAGACCAGTTCCTCTCGAGTTGGCTGAAGACCACAACGTTAGGAGACAACGCACGCGCCGCGTGTCGTGTGAGGAGACGCACGCGCTTGCGGCAGCTCTATGAGACAGAGGAGAAGAGCTGGATTCGTCGATGTTTGTGAAGACTTCGGTGGAGCCAAACCGGATTCGGAAGCCGTTGTTGGAACGGAATTTGAGCGGAAGACGCGGAAGGCAAGAATGAAATTCAGTTGAGAGAACAAACTCTAAGTAATATCATAATATAATTATATCGTTGGTATTTTACTGTAATGATATACCAGGGCCACCGTTTCGTGGTGTCTAAATGATAGCCCCGTCATTTTTGGGTGACCGGTGTCCATGAAGCACCCCAAACAGCACTGGTCATGGTTGCACATGACAGTCGTTTGCATCCGTTTGCATCTCTTTGCTCCCGTTTTGCTCCTCCAAGACCAGTGTCGTCTTCGTGGATCTCATCGGATCTCATGGACTGTTGATGGAACAGAATCCCAAGAGGCCCTAGCATAGCATCCTCTAGCCTATAGACTTAGTAGATCCAACAATCTGTCAAGAGGGGAAGACACAACGCGGACCCCTCAAGTGTTTTTGTTTGTTTTTGTTGGGTGAGTGTGTGGTGGTTGGCCGTGAAGGTTTTGTCTCATCGGTCCTTATGCCATATGGCCGCAGACGGAGTGGGGCCCTTTCAAGAGCTGCATTTGTAAAGAAGATCTATAAGCTTCTATAAGTCTATAAGCCCATTCTTGCCCTATATTGAACACACAAACACACACACACACTGCACACACAAAGTGGCATGTCTCAAACGGCCTTGGCTCTCACAACTCCCTCGCCAGGCTCGTGGCTATGAGGCCGAACTGGCAGCCTTGGGTTTGGCCGTGCAGCGCCAGTTGAACTGAGGCACCTCAGTGCACCGGACGTGGGGGCGACCGGACGTGGGAGCCAGACCCGGACCGTGCGACCCAGGTGAGGTTGGGCCGACGTCGACGATGTTGTTCCTCTATGTTCTCCCTAGCATGTTTAAGATATTTTAAGATGTTTAAGATATTTTTTAGCCCAGGCCAGGATGAAAAACGTTGCTACTGTATTCATGAATTCAACTGACTGTTCTCACACGTGTACACTCCTAGCCACTTTGCTTGATATGAAGAGAACCTTCTCAACCAGCCTAGGTTATGCTCAAGAGTGTAGTCAATGAGTCAATGAGCGAATTTTGGCGGAAATATGAAGCCGGTTGTCCTGAGGTGGGATTTCCCTGCAGCATATTATGATATATTATGTATACAAACTGTTCACAAAAAGAAACATAGATCACTGTCACTTGATCATTTTTATTTACATCTAGAGGGACTGTTTTGGTGGCTGATCTCTTTATGACCTGTTTCATTTGCCAGGTTGGATCAGTGGCAGATACGTTTGATCATTGACGGGCTCCAATGGCGGCAAAGAAGCAAGCCAGCGCTCGCGCTGCATGGAAAGATTTTGTAATACTAAGGTCTAAGGTGGTGTCCTGCCCGGCACGTGATGCACAATCCTCAGGAGTGGACCGGCTTCTCCAAAAAGGATGAGATGAAATGCCCAGAAAACCACCAGTTGACCCGTAGGCGGCCTTGAGGGCCGATGCGAAGGGCAGTTGCTGGCTTGCAGACATCACTGGTGTTTCACCAATCAGAGGCCCTCACAAGAGGTCGCCGCGACTTTCGAGAAAAGGGGCCCACGGAGACCAGGAATTGAATGACACATGGAATACATGGGATTTCCCCGCCGGAACCAGTGCCCAATCAGGAGAAGATACTCATGCGGCATCATCCACGTAGACTCGACTTGGATTGTGACTCGCTGATTCACTACTCAGATGATGTTGACTTGGTGAAGGCGGTAAATTTGTAGAACCACCTGCCCTACAGCTGGTTTTCGCTTCTTTGCAGCAACGCCCAACCCAGCTATGCAGTCATGGCCAACCCTGGGCACGGCTGAACATGCCACAGACATAGAAACAAATGGCTGCTGCACATATCACATGACCCTACCGGATTCTTTGTGACAATTCATTGATGTGCAGTAACTCGCCTGTTCTGGGCATGCGGCATTCAGCTTGTGTATGCTTGTGCTTTCAAGCATCCGATCGCTTGCTGGCCAGGATGCCAGGATCGATCGCTTCCATCAGATGGAGTGGGCTGTCCCGGCTCCAGCTGGCGCCAGGGGGAGGTGTTTAGGGCCATGGCGAATGGCCACGGGCATGTCCGCAAGCCCAGAGCGAGTTCTTGCAAGCTCTATCAAACCATGCGTATGACAAGACGCTTTTGACAGCCAACTTCCGCGCACACACCTGAGTACCACCTATACAGGCAATTTCAGACGCTCACCTCATAGCTTCAAAGGCCCAGACACCAAAAACATGGACCTACATTGACCCCAATTGATCGGCCGGCCAGTCCCAGCTGGGGAGACCTGCTTCTCGCTCCAGTTTTAAGCCGAGGCTCCAGCTGCGCGGAGCGGGGTGACTCCGCAGGTGGGAGAACCGGTGGGGCTCCGAAGAAGGAGCTGATTGGGCACTCTCCAAGAGCTCCAAGAAAGGGACTCAGGCACCCCTTCATCTCGGGGAGTTGTTTGAAGGTGCAGAAGAGCTTGGCCGCTTGGCCTCATCCGTGGGAATGACAGGTTGATGAAACGCCAGTTCTGAGAGATTCAATTGATCTGCTAAAATTATGTTTGGATTGTGTTCAGGTTCAGTAAATGTACAGAATAAGAAATGTTTCATTTGCGCCGCACCAAATCTGGAAGCAAGGTCGTTTGCTGATACTCCCTCAACAAAGCGGGCATTTACCCACCCAGGAGTTGCAAATGGCTTTGTTTGGAAGAAACTCTGAATCTGCGTAACATCATTCTATTGTTCAATTATTCAGGAGGGTTAAGGACTTGCAGCGAATTGCAGCTACCCACCATGACCCAGCCATCTCCCAAATGCTCCATCTGGACGAAGATGACCCACGCCCCAAATGGAGGCCATCTTTTGCTGACATTATGCCGTAGGAGCCCCAATAGGAGCCCCCCACCCAAGAATTCTGGCTGCAGGGGTGCTGCCTAGCAGTGCTGCTGACTGGCAGCTTGGGGCAGGCGCTTCGGTCGCGTCCAGTGGGACACTGGGAGGTCCTTCTGGGCGAAGGCGGCAAGAACTGGGAGCTAGGTATGTTGATCACCGAAGCAGGTGGGATCAACATGTAGTTTAGCATTTCATTGGATTTCCAATGGACCAATGGATTTCGCGAAATCTGTCAGATCGAGAAGGAAGATGGGGCGCAGCATGCGCATGTCAACAGGGTGCTTGTTCAACATTCAGCGACTAATTGTTCTTGGAGCTTCCTTGCAAATCTCCTTCAACCCATATTCCTCATGCTTCTTCTCCGCCCAGGCCTTCACCTCCAGTTCGGTCTCCACCGACCGCTTTCCGGACCGGGCACGGTCCGTTCGAGCGCGGCACCCAGCCGTCCTCGCGGGGTCCGCAGCTGCGCCCAGCTCCTCGCTAGCGGCGACTTGGACTCTGCGACCAGAGGCATTGGCAGGCCGGAGCTGGTTCGATGGCTGATGGCTGATTGTTTGAACATGTTGAGCTGAAGCGGATGAGGCTAGTTTCTAGTGTCAAATGAGTTTGCGGACCGACTTTCAGAACTCACTGACTTTTTGAAGCCAGAAGAGCTGAGTAGTTTTTACCCACCAAGCCATTAATGAATTAATATACGATTAGTTATTTATGTAATTTTGTATATTGTATTTGCGATCCAAGTACCACTTGACACCGCCAGAGGGTTTGTTTTGGTGTAACTTTCTTTTTGAGCACCATACGATATCGCACCCCACAGAGTCGGCCATTCGCACACACAGCTTCGTATTTCTGGGAAGTGAAGGCGCCTGACCCTGTCGGATCTGTGTTGATGCCCATGTTTGGGAAAACCATCTAGTTCATGATGCCTTGCACTTCTCCAGATTCAAGATCCAATCAACCAGCTCGCCTGCGACTCTAGTCAGCTGAACAGCTCGCCGCCTGGACACATCTCCAGGCCTCGCACTGTCACTGGGCGCCGCTCGCGGCGCCCGCGGAGCTCGCGGAGCGCGCGCCCGCGTGGCGCTGTGCCGAGCGCTGCCCTATGGCATCGCAGTGCTGGGCACCGGGTCGACGGCACCGGAGACCGTGGCCAGGAGGCCCAAGCTTGGTGAGGTTGGAGAAGCACTCCAGGGATGCGATGTTCACCAGACGTGCTTGTGTATATGGCTGTGCGTCAAAACATAGGATAAGCTTGGTTGACCTACCTACATGGTTTTGGGGCTCCAGGTTTTGACCCATCCCCATATTATTGGGCGGCTTTCCAACAGTGAGGATGAACATGGTGGTCACAGATTGCTTCAAGTTTCTATCCAGGGCTTCTGACTCGTCAAGTTCCGCCAGGTGGAACAAGCTTGAACCATCATTATGTTTTCGTTGCCTAGCTGATGCTCTTAGCAACAGCTGAGAATGAATAGGGACAGCCCCGCCAAAAGTATCCTCGTAGTCGTAGAAGTACGTAGTAGTTGTAGTCTTTAGTAATTAGTCGTCGTCGTCGTGCTAGTGCTAGTGCTTAGTGCTAGTGCTAGTAGTAGTAGTAGTAGTAGTAGTAGTCGTCGTCGTCGTCGTCGTCGTCGTCGTCGTCGTCGTGGTAGTGGTAGTGGTAGTCGTAGTCGTAGTCGTACTAGTAGTAGTAGCAGTAAGTAGTATATAGTACATACAGTATTCTTGCACCCCAAAAACATCTAAAAACTATTCAGGGCCGGGAATGCTGTTGGGAATGCATTTTATGATTCCCTTTGCCTTGACTATATATTTTGGATTGAACATTATCAGACTATAGTAGACTCAGTGATTGAGCACTAAAGTGATTACCGTAGTGCCCTTTGCTTTCAGAGCAGGGTTTGTTGTGCTTCCCAAGCTTTGAGCACTCTACCGCCAGAGCATTCAAGAGCACTTTTCAAGCACTCATCTATGGTGCCCGCAATTGGCACCAAAATCTGTCAAGTACTTTGAAGCGCTGGAAAGGTTGGAGCTGAAGGTACCAGCTGACGTGCGAAGTGATGCGAAGTGTCTATTGTCAGAACATTATAGTTGTTTGGGGAAGCTCAAGAAAAAGGAGGTGTTCGGCAGCATGTTTACATGAGATTCTCCTGCGGAGCCCAGTGCACCGGAAAGCGTTTGGCGGAACACTCCGATTTCGGTTTGTCACAACAGTCAGTGGCCCTTCCACTAGGTGATGTCACCCTTGAGACGTGATCACGTCCCCGACTCATTGATCACTTATTGGCCAATGTATGCTGATGGATGTATTTGTTTGTGTTTTTTGTCATTTATCATAACGGATAAAACAAACAAGTACATCCACTTTGTAAAAAAACAAAAACAAAAAGAAAAAACATATACGATCAGTACAAGATGTTGTTCATAAGTGTTAACATCGTCCATCGACCCCCCCTCACGTCTCCACTCGTCCTCTCTTTGTCTCGTTCTTCCGAGACCAAACCGTCCGAGGTCTCCAACGACGACCTCTCCGAGGTCATGGAGACCACGGACGAGTGGATCACCCAACGGACCGGCATCCGGCGGCGGCACGTGCTCCAACCGGAGGAGAGCTTGGTGTGCGGAAGGCCCAGGTCGAGCTGGCAGAGCTGTAGTGGGTCGGGGTGGAACTGGTGAATGCAGGTGGGGTTGGAAGTTCGTGAAGAACTGCAAGAGTCGGGGGTTGAACGGGGTTAGTCACGGTTAGTCGATGTGTCAGCCTTTAGAAGGAAAAAGATAGCATTCATATTAATTATAAGCAATTCAAACAACCAGAAGAGGATTGATTCGGACATGATGCGATGATTCTCTACGCTAGACGTTTCTAAGGGTTTCTAGATGGGAGCTTGTTGCTCAAAATATCTCAAAACTGGTTACGGATGTTACGGCACAAAAAGTAAGACGCATGCTGCCTACTGTACAAGGGTGTTTAGTTTCCTAGCTGCTTAGAGGTTCAGGGGTGGCACTATGGCACCCCTTGTGGGTGGCAAGGGAGCAACTGGAGTACACTGGTCAGCATTCACCCTTTGATCATGTTCTTCTCAACTCTTTTGCTGGCTTCAACACGTATTCCGTGGTTTTCCCAATCTCCAGTACTCCATGGTCCGGGCCCCTGAAACAGATCACCATCCGAGCACTTCGGACGACCTCCTTTTCGCCCTCGTTTCGGCTCCCTTTTCAGCCCCCAAAAAAACCCGCCCCTGGTGGGCCTGGTGGTGGTGGTGTTTTTTTCCATGGTTTATGTCCGGTACATCTCTCCGGACCTCTTCGAAAACCAACCAACGAACCAACGGTGGACGTTTCCGGGTTGTCTTCGATTCCGCAAAACCGGAGAGAACGTCCCGAGGTCCTTGTCGGTGAAAGCGGCCAAGAAAGCCTTAAAGGACGCCCAGTGCCTTGCACGAAGACAGTTCGACCGTTGGCGTTTGGTGCGACCGTTAGCCGTTAGCCATCGCAAACAGAGACCAAAAAAGGCGAAGACACGGGAGCGACCGTTCTTCCTCCATGGGAGCCGTTGGGATCTGTTTGTGGAGTATGGAGTCTTAGATAGATAGACGCCAAAAATAACGTAAAGGCAACAAACAATGTTCAAGATGGCCAAGGAACATCAAGGAACAATGCATTCTGAAGTGTTAGTGTCAGTATCATTCTGATTACGCCAAGCACATACCTGCGGCACCCGGGGACACCTATTGTGGTCCAATTCCAGAAAAGTTGTCTTTTAATGTTTTCAAGCATGTTCACGTCCCAGATCGGAAGTTTGCGTCCTTTTTCATTGATGCCTGAACGGTTCTTCACGTCTCGTTCCATAAACCATCTCCAATTTGCGTTGACATGTTCCATGAAATTGTCCAGGACAACATTTCCTGTCCAATCTTCCCATATTTTTATAGTGGGCGGGAGCAGTCCACGTGACCACATTGGTCCACATTGGGTACACGAGCCGAGCCAAGTCGTTCATCCGCTTTGGCCGCACAAAACCAGGCTCGCGCCCGAAGATGTTGATCTTTTGATCCATGCGACCTCCACTCCGGACGATTTGTTCGGGAGTGGGCCACAGGCGACGATGGAAGTTGGATTGGATTTGATTGGACGGATGGATGGGTCATAGTTTTTGGTTGGCAGAAACAAGAAAAACCTGAAGACATTTGCTGATTCAAGCCTGGTTTCAAGAGGGTTTACTGTATACTATAATATATAAGTGGTATTTCCTCGCCAGCTGAATTAAACACATTTACATGCACACTGGGTTGTCAAGCTTTGACGCCACCTCGTCCTGGTGTCATGCGTTTTTGTTCTTCACACAAGATGCTGAATTCCGCCAGAGGACAGAAGACCTTCAAGTCCCACATGTTGGTTACCATTTATTACCCCAATGAATCCTAATGATCTATAGGTCCTTTTATAGAGATTTTATCCTTTGCAACCCATTTCTTATAGAGACCATTTCTCTATAAAATGCCTGGCAGACGTGATTCCAGTGTCTTTTCGCCCAACAACTCCGCCGGTGACGTCACCGAACGTCTCTGCAGGTCGCCTCGCTGCTGGGCGCTGAGAGGGCGACGGCCTTTGACCTCACCGCAGCCTGCTCGGGCGCGGTGCGTCCGCGTCCGCGTCCGTCCCAGGAGGTCGAGGTGCGAGGTGCGAGGTACGCGGATGAGGTGATGAGGTGCGTGCATGGTGAAGGTGGGGAGCTTGGTGTTTGAGGCCTGAATAAGAGGGCATGAAAGTGGTTGATGGTACTAAAATGTCAACATGGAAGGAACATGTCAGACTGGCAGTAATGTACAGAATCCTGGCATATCCCTTGTTCTTGTAGCCCCAGAGTGAGTTAGAGGTAACAGAGCCTTTTTCAATGTTCCGTACTGCGGAATGCTGCAATTACCAAATCCAGTCCATCTTACTTTCCACAGTTCTAACGTAGTTCTACCTTCAAAAAACTCGAACTCCTGAAATTGCATGTCCTTTCACCTGCTGTGACGGGGAAACAATGATCTAAGGCAGACCATCTTTGGTCAGGTCCTTGATAAGGTCACTGATGACTCAGAGGTTGCTGGTCCACCCATATTTTTAGCAAGTGTTTTTTTGCCAGGACATGTTGTGGTGGTCTTTAGACCCTGGGTGCCCCCAGCCTCCATGTGTTTTCTTCTACCGAGGTATTTCAGCGCCATTCCAGTGGTCGGAGCATACCGTATACCTTCGTACATATGGATGGTAATTGATGAAGAAGAACAGTCTGCGTGGTTTTTGTTGGCCCCCCATCACCACACACACACAGTGTATTTCTATATATATATATATATCCACATGTTTTTCGTTGGTTTTTGCTTGAACTCTTTGCCAGTCCCATGCTTGAACTCTTCGAGGGGATTTACCAACGGACTGGCCAAAATATTGACCATGTACTCTAGTACTCCCATGTAACTGAAAATGCCTGAGAAATGCAATACCACGTCGCTGCTCATCAATGCCACTGGAGGCTTCGTGTTTGCTCTGGTGACCGCGGCGCAGTACGTGCGTGGCTTGGCTTGGACAACTAGTTATTGGATGGATTATTGATGATTATTGATGTATTTGTGTTGAGGATTGTTGAGGTCTCTTGACTCATATATAGCCTGGCGGGTGGCCTTGCAAGTCAATCTTTGATAAGAAAATATCTGGATATATCATGATTCCTAAATATTCCTAACACATAATATATCCAAACATACTGTATATAGGAGCTATCCCAAAATCTTTTGTGGGCCTGAATGCATTTTCCAGGAGCCACATGTTCGTCGCTGTGATGTTTGTGTTTTCCCTCGGTTCTCAAAGAGTTCAGTCCGTCGGTTCTCCCGCTTTTCGATGTCGACGCCAAAAGCTCAGACGGACCGCTGATTCTTTCGACGCCAAGATTCTCCTGGGCACTGTTCATCCAAATCAGTGGATTGGACCACATCTATGAAATTTGGGGGTTGGTCGGCCCCTCGTGTTCGTGTTCGAGGGCTTTCATAGGGCGATCATGACCGTCCCCACCAAGAGGTTCCGACACGATCCATTACCAGCAGCAGACTACAGGTTTTGTAATGAGGCCTCAACTGGTGACTCCCAGTGAGAGTGCTGGTACTTAAACTATCTTAAACTCACCCTGGAACATCCTGGAACTAGCATGGAAGTGGACCTCACCCCGTCTATTAATGCAGTATGTTTTATGTAGTAGCTAAATGATGCCATACATGGATGTGCTAGGATACAATATATATATATACTTTTATTTATACCATACATTATACCTGATCCGTTTCAAATGTACTGATTATGATTTGGGGATCTTCTCAGGCTTTCTGAAGAGTTTTTTTCCGCTTTTCAGCGGTGCGTGTAGATGGGAAGGAAAGACCAACCCTGCGGCCTTTCTCAGGTCGCAGGAAGCTCACCGTTCTGTCGTTGATGTTTGGGCCCAAACATGTTCGGACGCGCAGCTCGTGTTCATAACTACCCAAGCTCAAGCTCTCCAGGTTGGGAAAGGTAGCAAAAGTTTTTGGCTGAGAGTACGACAAAAGTCATCAATTCACAAGCACTAGATCCTCTCCCACCCCGAAATTCACGTATAGGTGTTTCCATGGTCTTCCCCCTATGTTCCGTGACTCCGTGGAGGTTCCGGCCGACCGGGCTCCTCCCAGGCTCCGGCGCCTTCAAGAACGTCTTAGTCGTTGGCGCCGACTGTGGGGACCGTGGAACGACCGATCGACCGGCGGTGGACGGGAGGGAGAGCACCATGGAGCTGGGCATGTTTTGGAGCCTGGCGCGTGGTTCGATCGAAGATTCTATGTCGGACGACCTACCTGCAAGACTTTACATTTGAGCTGGTGCGGGTGGGTGTGAAAGGGGGTATACTGAGGCTGCAATTGTGAAGAGATGGCAATTTTCAGCACCGGCGCAGGTCAGTTCTGAAAGTTTGTTTGTTTGTACGTGCCACCCCACTGGCCCCCACTCCGATTTGGCGATTGAAGGGTTGGATAAAGGGAGTTCAACACGGCCGATGTTGTGGTGCATTATTTTTTTGCTCTTGCTCGCGGTCATGGTCACATATGGTCACCAGATGTCCCCATTGAAGTCGGGATGAACCAATCGCAAGTTCTATGTCGATCCAAACACATTTGCAGAAGGTAGGAGCTGACAGTTGAACAAATCGTGTTATAAGCAGACAGCCTCTCAACTTTGATCCAAGCAAGCAATCAATCCCTTCCCTCCCCCGCTACCGGGCCCCAACCCCAAATGGATCCCAAACCATCCATCTACCTTGGGTCTGTCCTACTATTACAGTACCTGTAACAGTCAGTAAACAAGGGAAAACCACTGCCCAAAACAAACTAGAACTCAAAGGAGACATGGGTAGGGATGCAATGAGCCAATATCTTTTTCAAGCAAACCCCTGCTTGATCCATTGGTTTGTCAACAGCTCAGCTACACTTTGGAAGTGCCTCGATCTCTCGCATTTGCAGCCGCCTGTCGGTGGATCTTCATAATTACTAAATGAACCCATATGCAGATGCATGCTTCAAACTATATATATACCTGTATACACAATATATCATGGCTGTATCAGTGCATTTTTTCTGAATCTGAGTCACACTTTCTCAACCCGGCCTCTTCCTTGGACTTTCCAGCCGTTCGCTCTGCCGGGTGCACACGGCTATACACATCGCTGGGGTCCACCTTCAAAACTTTCTGTTCAGCTTTCTTCCCTGTCTTGCTTGGGGGGTTCTGGGGAGGCGTTTCTATCTCTTTCTGTCTCTTTTGTCTCTGTCTTCTTCATGTCTCGTATCCCAGCCATTGCATGCCTGGCAACACAACATCCACAACAAAGGGTTGAAGTGACACACAACATGGGACATGCAAGAAAGTCACTGAAATCAATCGGGCTTCCTCTGTGGTTTTGCCTGCATACACAGGCCTCTTGGACACACAGTTTTCCAACATGGAGAACCCCATCCTGGATCACAAGCTGCCTTCTACGGTGTTAACCGCGAAGCACATACAACTTGAAGAGGAGGAGAAGTCGAAGTTGAAGAGGGGACTCCCAAGGAAGACTGTATAGGGGACTCCCAAGACCGAGGATCGGTCCACAGTAACAACAAAGACAGAAAGCACGTCGTCTTAGCTCGATAGTCAGGTAGTTGTAAATTCTATAGCATCCACCGAAGGAAAAAAGAGGTTGCTGCATCAATGCAAAAGATTTTCTACAACCATGTCTGCTAGTTTGACATACAATAGGATGAGTAGTGTGTCCAGTATCAGGATCCATATATTCTTAAGGCGTGTGTCAGAACACACGGATTGTTTGCCCTAAACAACGAATATGTTTTAGAGATACAAAGCAAAGTTGGTAAGTGCAAAGGCGAAAAATCATGTACCTGGCGAGCTCCTGTGGCACGAGCGAACGAACGTATCGCCATGCATCCCAGTAGTTTCTTGGATCGAAGACTGACAGCTCACAGTTAACCCTTTGCTACTCGCGGCGACCTGAAAGGCTCGACGCGCATCGCGTCAAAGCGAGACGTCGGCGACGCACGGTGTCGTCACGCCAGGATGGCGAACGGGTACGCCCAGATCACGTTGCCATCGGAGCATCTGGCTGCGCCCGGCACACTCGCGACCGTGCGAGGACTTCGCATGTGTAGTTTCTTGCGCGGTTAAATGGACTCAGGCACACATCGCTGGAAGCCTGGGGTTGCTGGGTGCAGCGGATCCAGAAGCCGAATCCGAACGCGCACACAGCTTCGAGCTGCGTTGCATCCTCCAAGGAGCAATCGTGCCTTCGGTTTCTGCATCTTTGTTGGGGTGGATTTCTAATACTTGGGATAGCTATTAGGCAGCGCCGGACGCGTCGCCCTCGATTTCATGTGCCGAAGTGCTGGCAAGGCAAGACAACCTGTTAGTAGATGCCGTGTCCATCGAGTTAAGATCAAAGGGTTGTTCATCCTTGCCAATCTAGTTCTTGCCAATGCTCAGCCATATGTTAGCAGCTCCTTGAGTCATCATGCAAATGGAAAGGAGTTTGGTCCTATCGTCAATGAGCCTGTGAGTTCAGGAGATCATCAGACTCCTTTTGTATGTAATAGGCATGTTGGAGACATCTTCATTGTCACTGGGATGTTGTTGATGCCTCCCCTGTCCTTAGGGAACTGCCATGGACCTACCAGAGTCCAGCTGGTCAGTTAACAGACCGTCATTCCTCTCAGCCTTGCGGGAACGACGTGTTGTTGAGTCAAGATGAATACTTTGACGCCGAAGGCCTTTTCCGAGAACTCTGCAAGCCTCCTTCTTTTTGTCTTGATGAAGCCTCGACAAGAGAGAGCTCACCAGGGTTTTGTGAAGCAGGATGCCAGACTTCTTGTGCACGGGCTCCCACTTGTGGCGAATCCTGTGCTGTGACTTGAATGAGGTTGACTCAGGTGGAGGTCCCATGCAATATGAAGAAACTGTGCTTATGCAAGTAGGGCCTCCGGCTGAAGACTTAATTGCGCAGGCAGTAGCACAGTGGTTCATGCTGGGACTGGCATGACCACGAGGATTGAACGAGCTAGTGGGTCACCATGACACAAAATGCGTCAGTGTGCCCTTGTCCGCTTTAATTTAGAAGTCTGGGCCTGAGCTCACTGGAAGCTGGCGATTGGCAGCATGAGCCACGAACCGACAGTGAAAGAAAAGACATAAAATATGACTGACTCGCTACTGTTTAAAGCAAAATTCTTCGCGCGCAATATTTGGAAGCATGAATTACATTGTAGACGCACTAGTTTCTCATGCGATGTACTTCCATTGCAAGTCTGCAGTCTATGCATGGCAGCGTTGAAAGCCAGTCCTGCTGGACATAGTAAAGTATCCTCCCCAATGTTCTTGGCCCTACCCTCAGACAAACAGAATCGCTGTGGCAACCCAATTAAGACCCCAACCTCCGAGAAGCTTTCCATGATAGCGTTGTTCTCAGCAGCTGGCGCGCGTTTCAAGAAGCGGTGGCTTGCGTGCCATTGCTGATCTTCTTCTCCCTAAGGTTCAACCTGAAGGATACTTCTATAGTTTGAGACCTGCAGGATTAGCTCTTGCTTGGAACATTAGATTGGCTCTAGTGGGCCATCTGTAGATCCTCATCAGGCATCAAAGATACGCATCCAGCAGCCATGGCAACAGGCCTCACAGGCAGCATCACTGTGCTCACACTGCTGTTGCGGGCTTGAGGTGGAAACAACGCAGGTCAAGTGTCGCACAGCGGGATGGGTCAGCTGGTTGCACTGGCTTGCGCAATGTGTTTCCGCGCAAAACGTTGCAATGACAAAACACAGTTTTTGCAGCAGTTAACAAGAAATATAACAGCCTCATACAGCCTCTGAACAAAGAGTATTTGTATTCCTCGTCGTGTAGATGGCTCTCCTAAGTGAGCACTGTCGGTTTTGGTGAACGCTATCAAGTACTTCTTCCTCATGTTGGCCATCCTATGTCCAGTTGGAAAACGGCAAGCCAACAGCTTCGTTTAAAGGAGCAGTCCTTTCCAGCGCTCCCACAAAGTGTTCCAGAATGGTTTGGCGCGTCGTTCGCTCATGAGCTTGGAATGTTGCCGTGGTATGATTTGTTTGAAGCAGTTAATAAAGTGTTGATTGCTTTCTGCCAAGCAAATGAGGCACCTTTCAGTGCAGTCAGTGCAGTTCTTTTTCTGCCTGCATCTTAGCGGCTGGCAAAACCAGTAGAGCGTGGGGTTGAGGCCCCTAGTCCCGTCCAGCCATGTCCAGCCATGACAGTTCATGTTCAAACACTGTTTGGTTCTATCCTAAATATGCAGTGTAAGAAACTTCTGAGGAGGACATTTAACTTCTGAGGAGGACTGTTCTGAAGAAGACACTTTAGTGAAGGCAGCGCTCGACCTGTTGCAGCTACGACCTTCACCTTGAGATTGGTTGCGATTTCTGAAGCTGAACGAGCCTTCTTCTTACAAATCAGCTCTTGCAAGGCCCACACTGCGCCGCCTGCCCCACTACCTCAGAGTTTCCAGGGGATCAACATGGATCAGCCCAAAAGCCTATAGAGAACCACAGCTTGCCAAGATACAATCGGGCGTGAGTGCGAAGGGCAACCCAAAAGCCCTTGAGAACTACGTCCAAAGAGCGCCTTCAGCAAGTCCAGCATGTAGTCCACTCCTTGGCTCCTTGTAAGTTTGCCAAGGCCCCCACGTCGAAGCATGTCTCTGCCCCAGCCCAGCAATCGCGGCATGCCTTAGATAAAACAAAGTTCCTGCATGCTCAGGGAGACCTGCGTCAGATGAGAACTAGATAAATGTTCACAGTTCAATATATATATATATATTTACTAAAATATACGTGTACTAATATAGTGATACACATGTACATTCTATGAATTATACAATCTTGCAGGTCTTTAATTTGTAGATAATTTATATCAATGTCAATACATGTTTTAATATAGTAATATGGATATAGATGCCTTTGGGGCACAGTTGCTCTTTCGCAAGCCTGAAGTTCTCAAGCCCTTCACCACCACTGCTGCTAGACGAGGTCCATGAGGTCTAGCTAACATCGTTAGTGGTGCTCCAGGCATCTGACGAACTACTTTCCTTGCTACCATCAGTGGAACAGAATATCCCTCTTCAGATGGTGGCTCGAGCATGGTGATCTACCATGTAGCGCACCCGGCTTTCTGAGTTCCACTTGCTGATGGGAAGAGTCTCACATGTGATGGGACCCCCTTATTAAACACTATTTGTATTTTTGAACAAGGCCATTACTGACCGTCATCGCCCTGGTAATAGGATAGGCCCTTCCATCTAATTACAGCCTTCCCGGACCGTTTCCAAGAAAGACGGACTTCCCGTTCGACCGGGCCCCTTGCGGCCCGGTGTTTTTCGTTCGGCCGAGGCCTGAGTCGCTTCGTGGATTGGTCGGACCGGAGCACGTGCGTCCTCTTCGGCGACGGCGCGGGCGCCATGGTCATCACTCAGACCGAGGCTTCGAAGGACGTCCGGGAGCTTGGACGACCGGATGGCTTAAGACAGATGGGTGGCGTCTAAACCCACCATAGCCCCAGCAGCTCAGCCAAAGACCACTTTGGTTGGGAAAAACATGAAAATGGTGAAAAATATGGGGAAAGTCTCAAAGATCAGTTTTCATTTTTCATGCAAAAGTGCTGGGGAGGTGTGGAACGAGACATGGGTGAAACATGGGGAGAAACACAACAACTGGTCATCTCATCCCTGTTGCCTGCCATTGTTTTTGTTTGGTCCCCAGATGAGATTTGAGGATGGGTTTCATAGCACCACCGAGGTTGGATGGTTGTTGAATTAAACCAAAAATTACGGTAGTGTTTGTTATTGTTTGTTGATGTTTGCTGGATGCAGATAGGCTTGGGAACTGACGGACCTTCCTTTCTCCTCTTCTTGCCTTGAAAATTCGAGGGACGGCGGCCCCGTTGCGACTTGTACGCGAGACCACTTATATACAGTACTGTCAGGCGAAGCAATGCATCCACTTCACAATGGGTGTGTGCGTGTGTTTTCTCACAAGAGGTTTCATATCACCTATCCAGGATCAACACGGACCAACACGGACTATGAGGTTTCTCATCAAGAATTGTTGGAGGCCAAAATTTCTAGGTCTCTAGACTCTAGATGTTTGTAGGTCCTTCCAATCACCTAAGATACACAAAGAGTTCGAAGGGTTTCACTCCTTGCGCGTTCAAAGTGAAACCCAGGTCTCCCTTGGAGTTCCTTTCGGCTCGAGAGACGTTTCGACCCAACGAGCCCCTTTCACCCATGAGCCTTGAACTGTCCTGGCCGATGCTCGGTGAAGATGCGGAACATGCGGAGCTGGCAGACTTGGGTTGTTTAAAGGGCTGGGAGACTTGCCAAGTTGTGAAGAGTGATTTCTCGTGGTTTTGTCAGCTCAAGCCATAGCAGTTTGGGTCACTGTGCTGGCAATCGATCTATCACGATGGTTCATGGCTGTTTGGGCACAGGTCTTGTTGAGGTCTTATTGAAAGGTTTGTTTGAGTTTCTTTGTATTAATAGTATATAATAGTATAGTGTAATTGCGTGGCCACATCACTTTGAGGTGTTGTTTCCCATCCTCCGATGTCGCCAATTACCTCCGAAGGTAGGGAAGTAAAAGTACTGACTCCACAAACGCCAAGTGACTTTGCTCAGAAGATCGAAGCTTGGCCTCCTTGTGTTGTGTCTCAAACACGATTTGTTGCAATCCTTTGCAGGCCTCTTCTAAGACGTTTGTAGAGTGGTGTGTGCATCCTAGGCATTCCTACTTAGGTGGTGTCAGTGTTCTTTACTCCATACCCCAGATGATGTTCTTATAGAGTCCTTGCGAGCCACATAAAGAAAGTTCCTGCTTTCTTAGGGCCAGCTCATTGATCGAAGAAGAGTGGAACGAGAGAGCCTCTTGGAGGAGCTCGGAGGTCCCATCAGCCGGTTGTGAGGGGACTTTGAGAGCCTGAACTGGGATGTTCCAAAAGTGGTTCAGATATCAAGCTTTTTTAGGTCTCTCAACCTGACTCATATAGATAGACATATAATGACATATAGATAGACTGGATATGTCAGTGGATATGTCCTATGACCTGCAACAGTAAGCATTCATCATCCACTGTTACTGGTTGCTCGGATTGACCCAAAGGATATGCTCTTTTCAGCTGCTCCACCAGGATGCTATCGATCTCTCTCGGAGGATCGCTCCGGCACAGGTGATGTTTGACTGTTTGATGGAAGAGTGGAGCACCAGCACCATCCAGTGCCCCATGAGACAGTTTCTTCTTTTTTTGATTTTAGACTAGATCATACAACAGTATGTGACTATATAGTGAATCATGAAGAATCATGCAACACGGAATTGTGTGACTGCGAAGGGTTTGTTCCACGGACAGTTCAACAGTAGGTTTCCCGGTCGCCGGTGGAAAGCAGACATACAGACAGGCCGCAGGATGAACATGTTTGGATCTGCTGGATGAGCAGACTTTCCTGGACCAATTTGTCCAATGGAGATCTCTAAGTAGTGGCCTGGGTAGGTGTCAACCTACAACCTTTTTTGGACGCTCACTTTTCCAGGACGCTTCACACGGAAGATGTTTGGATCATGTTGAAGCAAGTAGCTTCCAGTTTGGGGTAAGTGCGTTATGCGGCGGCGTCATATTGTTGGGGTATGTTGATTGGTTTTGTATGAGTATAGAAAAGCTTATGAGTTGACTTTGGCGGTTCCATGATGTGGTCAAACACCGCACGCTTGTCTACAAGGTGAGCCACCAGGTGAGACAAGCTTCGAAATCCTCGGAGCATTCGCTGCATTACCTCAAGGAGGAGTGTCAACTCATGTTGGAAGCTCGGTTGGGTGTGGTGCTCACATGTATATGTATATGAGTCTATGATATGTATATATATATATTATAGCCCTTAAAATATTCAGTAAAGAGATCGAGTTGAAAAGGTAAACATGCTTGGCACCCTCCTGTGTGGCCAACGACGGTGCCGCTCTCCGGTGTGTCCCGTTGCCGCCCACGCCGGTGTCTCAGTGTGGCTTTTTCCATAGCCGGTCCTCCGTCCCCCCTACTCTAATCATCCATACGATCCATCATTGAAATCCATATGATCCATATCATCTCAATAATCGTGTTTCGTTTGGGGATACTTCGTTGTGGCGTGTTGCTCTCCTGGATTCACTACATCACCCAGACACTCCATGTACGACATAAATATATAGAGAGAGAGAGCTCCTACATAGACCCCTGAAACCAGCCCAATGTTGGCAAATATGGCAGTCCCATGGCGCGCGTGGCGTGAGGAACTCCGCGCGTGGCGTGAGACTGGTGTGAGACTGGTGGGTTGGAAGGCAACCGAGTTGGAAGGAGTCAGTGGAAGGCAAAGTTTTTTTTGTCCTTTGAGTTGTATCGGTTGCTTTGGATTTGTTTGGATCTTTGCACAAGGAAAACTTGGGTCCCAATGTGCCGAGTGACCATCATCCATCATGCTCCAGCATCCTATATCCAGGACTCTCCAACAGGCTGTTTTGGGACCCTAACAGGTGGTTTTTGAGAACCTGTTGTCATACCGAGTGGGTGCTGGCGGACTAGACCAAGCAATTAGCCCTTTTGAATCACTTTTGAAACGATGTTTCCATGTTCCGATGGATGTCAGAGCGTCCAGCCCGTAGTTGACCTCATGGTTCAGAGAGTTTCAGAAGGATGTGTAACTTTCAGCTTCCATTCAACGAGAAATTTAATGTTGTTTTCTAAATTAGGACATTTACCACTTTCTTACACTACATGTTTGACCGTTTGACATCCCCTTCACCAGCTGCCTTCACCAGCTGGTTTTGGGGAATCACCGGGACTTGTGGAAGAACTCCGGGACTCTGGCTGAGGAGCCCACACGGCAGTCCAGGCTTCATGGCTTTATGGTGGCGGTCCTGGAGGACCCTGAGCTTTTCCAAGCACCTTGGGTTTAATATTTGGTTTATCACTTATAGACTTATAGAAGTATTAGATTATTTATTCTTATAACTTACTTACTGTATAGACTGTAGTAGCTGGAAGCAAGGAACCAAGCAACTTGCTTCGGCCGCGTTTAGATCCGGCGTTGAGATCCTGTCAATCCGGTCCCAAAGTCGACCTTCTTTACGGACCGACGGTCGAGGGAGGTCCTTCAGAGGTCTTTGAGGTTGTTTTCAGTGCTGGGTCGTGCAGTGGTGTTCTTTTCTTTTGGGGGGGCGGGGGGGGTGATGCTGACACGGAAAGAGGAACATGTTGAAGTTTGTACGGTACATTGCCGTGTTTGTATATATATATATAATTCGTATTGTTTCGTTTTTGTATACCCTGGGCTTCAAACCTACATTTTAAATATGTCCGTTGACAGAAAGACCATTTCTTCAAAAGGCTTTGAAATCACACCAAATCACATAACAATCACACATGGTATCCCATCAACTTCCCTTTTCTCAGCTTCCATCAGGGTTCCTCACGCGTGAAACAGTGTGATGGCCTCTTCAAGGCATTCAAACCCTCAAGTCGCATCACATCACCTTCGGGATGATGCATTCAACCTTGATGTGCGCACCCCTTTGTCATTCAGAAACGACTCAACACAGCATTCTTTAGATGCCAAGAAACTGATGTATACGGTGCTTCATGCCCAGGATCCTGCATACACTAAATTGGTATGGAAAAAAGGGGCACCATAGGCAGTGACTATTACCCATCCTCAACTTGGAAACCCGCAAGACCCACCACAGGCGTCTCCGCGGATGTGAATACTTGCATATGCCTCAATCAAGGCTTGCACATGCATGCATGAACAAGCTGCAACACTTTTGCAGACAATGCCATGATGCCCTTTAACCAACGCATTCCATCCTCATCACAGTAGCAATGAAAATAGCGAGGGTTGTATCCTTGGTATGATGAGGTCAAGGGATTCTGGAGAACATCCGCGGTTAGGCCAAAGTAGTACTAGTGTTTGTTCACCCACTATTGATGTGGAAGCAAAATGTATGCAAGCAAGTACAATTGGACAGGGGCTCTGTGACGAAGAGCATCTTTGCAAAGATGCGAGAGAACCTTAATTGCGCTCGCTCAGTTCAATGTCTTTTTCAGGATTGGTGGAGCTAAAGGGATCACAAACATCACAAACATGTAATCACAGCACACTGCCCAGTAGCGTGGGCTTTTGGCTTGAGCTGCCAATCCATGAGGAGAGACCTGTCACTGACACTATCTCCACGTGCAAAAGGGTCGTTTTTGATCCACCATCGCCTCATGGATAGCAGGCACAGTGCCTTGTACAGCTCAATGAAGCGCATGCCAGCATCATGAAGGCTTTGGGCGGCACACTCACTCCTAACTTTGGTTCACTTCAGTTTCAACAATTTCTCCAATCTGGATCAGAAACCGTGGTGGGGGAAACAACCAAAAATACTGAAACATGAGAGGAAGGTTCAAATATCTCCCATTGGTCTCCATCAA